TGCATTGGTTAAGTTGGAAGTAAACTGTGTTCCATTATCTGACAATATTTTATCAGGGAACCCATGTCTTGTAAATACATCTAATAATGCCATGCAAATTGTTTCTGAATTAATGTTTTTGAGGGGAATTGCCTCTGGCCATCTAGATGCCATATCAATCATGGTTAAAATAAATTTGTGTCCCTTATTTGATGGTGGATTAAGAGGACCAATGATATCTATAGCTACCTTCTCAAAGTTTCTACCTATTTTGTCTGTGGGTTGTATGGGTGCTCTGTGTTTACTGTGTATTGGGTTTTTTGTCAGACATGGTATGCATTTGTTTATGTGTTTCTTTATGTCCTTGTGTATGCCTGGCCAATAAAAATTCTGTGTGACCCTTTCTAATGTTTTTTTTATACCCATGTGTCCAGCCAAAGGACTGTCATGTGCATGGTTGAGTATTTTGTTTCTGAGTATTAATGGTACTATTATTTGAGATTTTTTGATTTCACCTTTCTCAAAATTTCTGATTAGAATATTATGTTTTATTGTGTAATTATGTCCTCTATAAATTGTGTTATTGTCCTTAATTTTGTTTCTAATGTCCTGAATTTGCCTATCTTCTGTCTGCATTCTAATTATGTCCTCTCTAGATATTTGTTTTGGAATGTCTAATTTTTCTTCTATTTCAGGCTGTGTCTGACTAGTTTTATGTTGTTGTCTTGTTATTGCACTTATATACTCTTTGGTTAAATTTTTTGATTCAATCCAATTTAAGAATAGTTCTTGGGAATTATCTGGAATTTCTTTAATATTTCCAATTATTAACTGACATACTGGGTTGTCCATAAGTACTGCCGTTACCTTTCCTGTCAACCATGGACAGTCTATGTCCACTACTGCTTTATAACATTCAACTTTTGTGTTATTTGCTAACATGACTGTGGTTTTTTCAGATATATGGTCTTTAGGGTCAATCAATTTTTTGTCAACTACTATTGTTGTACAACCTGTGTCTCTTAGACACTGAACAAGTTGGTTGTTTACATAAGAAGGAAAAAATTGTAAACTTCCTTCACTGTGACATGCGCTAGCTAAAGTTTCATGTGGTTTGGTGTTTTGTCTACTGTTAGTCTGATTGGAATTATATCTTTGATTTTTATATGGTTGTCTACTCCTATTTGCACTGTTGTATCTAATTGGACTACTGTTGGGTGATGTTCTCTGATAGTATTGTTGTGAATGTCCTAAATCTCTATGTAATTTCCTACACTCATATTTTTTGTGACCTGGAATGCCACAGTAGAAACATTTGTTGTTGTTTGAATAATTAGTATATGGTGTCTGGTAATTGTTTTGATGACTTTTCTGAAATTTATTGTTTTGCCATCTGGCAGGTAGGCTGTGGTATCTTCTATTTTGATATGTGTTTTGTTTTTGACTGTCCCTATCACTGGGTGTGTTTCTAATAGAGGCTAGTGTGCTGTTTCTATTGTCTAGCTCTTCATTGGGGTGAGCATCTTTGAATGTTGTGATTGAGTCAACTAACTCACGCTCATTTTTAATCTTTCTCTCTTTAAGGAATGAAAATAAAGTGACTGATGCATTTCTTAATATTTTATCTATGATAAACATATCCAGTAATGCTTTTGGATCATTTAGGTCAATTTCAGTTAATTCAAGCCATTTGACAAGATTGTCTCTAATATTGAATATGGTGGTGTTAGGATCTACTTCTCTATCTAGTCTTATGTTATGGAAATTTTTTCTATAAATGTCTTCTGTGTTTCCATAGAACTTTAACAAAACTTTCTTTATATAGTTATAATTATTCTTTTGTTCTTCACTAAGTGAATTGATAATGCTTAGGCTTTTCCCTGATAATCTGCTCAATAAAATATTAGCCCAAGTCTCTTCTCTATAATTATAAGATTGACATATGCCTTCAAATTGTGACAGATAACTGATGATTTCTTCTTTATGTTCATTAAATTCTCTAAATTTAGGTTTGTATGTACTGTTCGTTTCCCTATTGCTTGTTGGTGTAGTATGCTGTCCTGATTCTATCCTAGCTCTTTCTAGTTTTAGCTCTTCCTCTCTTATTTTCATATCTTGTTCCCTTAATTTAAGTTCTTCTATTTCCTTTTGTCCTTTTAAATTTAGTTCATCTATCTCTTTTTGTCCTTTTAAATTTAGTTCCTGTCCTTTTAATTTCATTTCTTCTATTTCTTTTTGTCCTTTTAAATTTAGTTCCTGTTCTTTTAATTTAAGTTCTTCTATTTGTTTAAGTTCGCTTCTCTCTAACAGTCTAGCTTCTCGGTCTTTGTCTTTGTCTTGTCGGTCTTTGTCTTCTTTCTGTCTGTCTCGTATTTTTTCCATTTCTCGAGTTACGAAGTCAGTTAATTTCTCCTGCTTCAAGCCAAGCTTCTCACCTACTTCTAATAATTCCAAGTACTCTGCCATTTTTTATGTGTAATGTGAGTAACTAAAATTATATTGTTATGTCTCAGTATATCAGTTATCTCCTTATTCTTTGGTTATCAATTAAATAGTTTACGATATTTCATATATCTACATGTTAATGAATGTATACACAAATGCAAGTTGATACATGAATTATAAGTTATAAATAAGTGTAAGAAAAATTTAAAATAATTAAATTGTCTATTTTACAACATAAATACAGATATGTAGACGTTTACATGAATACAAATGAGACAACAAATACAAAAGTACTGTGTAGTTTATGGACCACAAGATAGTAGAAAATATGACAGTAGGTTGACAATATGTATAACAATGACAAGACAAATAGCACAAATATGACACGATCTACTAAAAAACAACAGTTATGACAATGTACAAACTAGACTTCACAGCTAACACAAAATTATCCTACAGTGTTATAAATAGGGCCAGAAGAAACCTTTACCGTTTTAATAAAAAAACTTCCCTAGGAAAGATAACACCGTGGATGTCCCTACAGTATACTCTAAAATTAAACTTATATTACACAGAAAAAGTAAAAAATTTACTTAATCTAATTAAGTATGATATAAGTATATTTTTAAAGTCTTAAATTATATATATAATACATAACATAATATACATAAATACCAAGTGAAAGTGTCCAAAAGAAATCTTTAGTTGGTCACCTCTGCTCCTCTGTGACGCTATGATTTCTGTGTAATCGATAATCCTCTGTAGTAGATGCTCCTTCTAGGTAGTAGATAATCCTATGTGGTAATGTACTTGGGTAAAATAATCCAATGAGAAAAGTTACACCACAAATTGCTGCAATATTCCAATGTAAGTACCTTGCGTAATAGTGTAATTGTGATAATCCAATAATTGAAAATTGTCTAATTTATCTCCGGTTCTGTTGCACTTGTGAGTAATTGAAGAATTACTTGAAGAATTACTTGACTTGAACTGTGCTGCTTGTATAAAGTAAAGATTATGCTGGGGAAATCTTACTTCCGCTGTCTTGATAAAACATCTCATCTGTAATGACATCAGACTTCTTTTGGTTTTGTGTGGATCATCTCTTTCGTTGACTAATAACTGTAAAATAGATTTCTTGCTGTTTCTTCCACGAGAATATTCACTCCACTGTTATATAATTGAAACAGTGTACCAGTTAGCTGTTTGAACTCTCAACTTTTGACTCCCGTGACTGACCTAAATTCAATCGTTGTCAGCTTGCTCTGTGTGTCGTGGACTCTTCTCAGACTTGACAAATACTCGGGCGTAATGACGTTCGATTCGAATGTTAAAATATATCATTGTTACTCAATGTTCTGTAATACATCGTTGTTCTGACACTTCTGACAATATTTGTAACGCATCGTCGTTACACCGCTTCTGACACCATTTGTAACACACTTCTACTCTGACATGGCGTGGGATGTTATTTCTTATGCTGTGGGTTATGTCAGTAGTATGGTTACTTATATTAACGCTTCAGGATGCCGACTCAGTCTTCTTCATTCTTTCACTTATTATTCAGGCACGTAAAGAAGAATGCTCAATTCTAGTTAAAACTCACAGTACTTTATTGAACACACTTTATATTGATAATATTAATAAATAATCCTTGCATGAATGTAATTTCACATATATATCTATAGTATTCCATCATTAAGAAAGACACGTCCTCATACTTCTACAACTCAGCTCAACTGTCTAATCTCACAGCTCTCACGCTACTGCTTCTCTCTACTGCTCTGCGCTCAGCTCTCTTTATCTCAGTCAACTCATACTTTATTACCAGTAAAGCGTGCAAAACAACCGCTCTGACAAAAACATAATTTTACTCTCCAAAAACGTGGAGTTCACATTTGTTCTCAAAAATACAATCCACATTGATTGTCTCTCCCCGTGGAAAAACCTGGTGAACACACTCACTGTCCACTCATGCTACCTCTCTGTTTACATGTGAAAACATAGTCCGTTACAATTAGCGTTTTTCTAGAATTATGATAACGTACCCGGTAATTATTTTTTTTCATTTCTACGCTCTCGGTTAACAAAAAAACAAAAAAGTTCATCCCAATATTTCAGGTACTGGTAATTTCTGTTATGGTCTCCGTCCTCATAAGAAAAGCAAACGTCAAAGGCATGGATGAACTCAATCTGGATCTCATTTCGCAGGTCAACATAGAATATGGAATCAAACAAAGTAAGTGATGGGACGTATAATATTATATGTTTTTAATCTTGACGAGATCTTATAAAAAATATCAAACCGTGTCATTTATTGCTTTTTTAAACTCAATTTTAAACCTAAGGAGTCCTTGTTTCCTTTCATGTGATTTCTAAAAGTGGACCAACTATGTTTTTAATTTGTCCAATAACTCCTTGGTGTAGGCCTTTATTCATCTGATGGATTGGTGGACACTATATAGGCTAACCCCAAAATATATTTAGCTGGTAAGAACGTTTAATTTATGCTTGTTATAATTATCTTTGTCCAAATATCTACAGAACCTGAAATTGATCGTGTTTATAACACTTACATGACGACGCTCTCAAAAGCAGATCTCAAAGCTGCAACGATGAAGAGAAAACTTCACGTCATGATCAGAAATACACTGAAAGAGTTTTGCATTCATTTCGTCTACCTCCTCGTTGTGTGCAGTCTCTGCTATTCCAATCGCAGTGATGGTGATCATCTCCTGTACAATGTGATATCCGATGCACTAATTCAGAAGACAACAAATAATACTGGATTTAACCATGTAAATAATGTCACTTTTCTTAAAATCAATTAATCCGTTGTATCCAACAGTTTTTTTTTTAATGCAATTTAATAATGCTGAATGCATTTAATTTAATTTCTTCAAATAGGTAAATACAAGTAGAGACTACATCAACTGGCTTAATTCAACTCTGAGACCATGGCTGTTTTCAGAAAACAATAAGATGCATGATCCGAATGGTACAGATAGAGAATATTACACTGATGACATGAACCTTTATCGTCTTGGTGAACCAAGAATTAGACAGCTTCGTATGAAGAAAGGTTTGAATTCATTATGATTGGTTTTTAGTGTGTGTATATCACAAACTTTGAAAGACACAAACGAAAAATAAATATTTAAAATGTTGCCCTCTTTGTAACAACGAGGTGATGATTTCTTTCACGAATTGATTTTTAACACAATGATACTGATTAAAAAGATTTTTAAAAAATATTTGAGTGATATTTTGTGTGTGTGTGTGGGGGGGGGTGGAGGGGGGTGTTTCTTTTTCTTGAATACTATTGAATGTAAAGGTTAAATATTTTTATTAGAAACCTACCAGAATAAAAAAGATTTTTAAAGTATAAGGTTGAAATTCCGAGTCAATCACTAAACCTTAATTTTTCTTTAAAATATCAAAGGAAAGGTAGTTATTCTAAAATCATACTTTCAGATGAGCACTTCCACATCGACCTTGTTTCCTTTCAGATTAGCACTTCCACATCCAACTTGTTTCCTTTCAGATTAGCACTTCCACATCGACCTTGTTTCCTTTCAGATTAGCACTTCCACATCGACCTTGTTTCCTTTCAGATTAGCACTTCCACATCGACCTTGTTTCCTTTCAGATTAGCACTTCCACATCGACCTTGTTTCCTTTCAGATTAGCACTTCCACATCGACCTTGTTTCCTTTCAGATTAGCACTTCCACATCGACCTTGTTTCCTTTCAGATTAGCACTTCCACATCGACCTTGTTTCCTTTCAGATTAGCACTTCCACATCGACCTTGTTTCCTTTCAGATTAGCACTTCCACATCGACCTTGTTTCCTTTCAGATTAGCACTTCCACATCGACCTTGTTTCCTTTCAGATTAGCACTTCCACATCGACCTTGTTTCCTTTCAGATTAGCACTTCCACATCGACCTTGTTTCCTTTCAGATTAGCACTTCCACATCGACCTTGTTTCCTTTCAGATTAGCACTTCCACATCGACCTTGTTTCCTTTCAGATTAGCACTTCCACATCGACCTTGTTTCCTTTCAGATTAGCACTTCCACATCGACCTTGTTTCCTTTCAGATTAGCACTTCCACATCGACCTTGTTTCCTTTCAGATTAGCACTTCCACATCGACCTTGTTTCCTTTCAGATTAGCACTTCCACATCGACCTTGTTTCCTTTCAGATTAGCACTTCCACATCGACCTTGTTTCCTTTCAGATTAGCACTTCCACATCGACCTTGTTTCCTTTCAGATTAGCACTTCCACATCGACCTTGTTTCCTTTCAGATTAGCACTTCCACATCGACCTTGTTTCCTTTCAGATTAGCACTTCCACATCGACCTTGTTTCCTTTCAGATTAGCACTTCCACATCGACCTTGTTTCCTTTCAGATTAGCACTTCCACATCGACCTAGTTTCCTTTCAGATTAGCACTTCCACATCGACCTTGTTTCCTTTCAGATTAGCACTTCCACATCGACCTAGTTTCCTTTCAGATTAGCACTTCCACATCGACCTAGTTTCCTTTCAGATGAGCACTTCCACATCGACCTTGTTTCCTTTCAGATTAGCACTTCCACATCGACCTTGTTTCCTTTCAGATTAGCACTTCCACATCGACCTTGTTTCCTTTCAGATTAGCACTTCCACATCGACCTTGTTTCCTTTCAGATGAGCACTTCCACATCGACCTTGTTTCCTTTCAGATTAGCACTTCCACATCGACCTAGTTTCCTTTCAGATGAGCACTTCCACATCGACCTAGTTTCCTTTCAGATAATCATCCCCTCGCACCCCCACAATTTTTTTTGGGAGACTTTTTCCATAACTGTCAGCGGCGTAGCGAGGGTGTTAGGCGCCCGGGGACATCTGTCCCCCCCCTGCACCCCCCCCCCTTCGCTACGCCTCTGATAACTGTGTAACTGGTTCCTAAAATATTTATATTGATTTATATTTACACATTTTAATGTTGTTGTTTTTTTTGGGGGGGTTGTATTTTTGTTGTTGGTTTTTTTAGGGGGTTTTTGTTGTAAAAATGGTAAATAACTCAACTTTACGAACAACATTACAGAATAATGAATAGATATCATAAAATTCACATTTCAGAGGACTGCTCATTTGAAGGAATCAGGCTTCACAAGTGTGTTGCAGGATACGATCTCATTAATGAGGAAACTGGCAATTATTGTTTAGGATGGTCTCCCCTGCCGTGCACGGAGGCTCAGTCCATCAGTTGGTCCGATAAATCCTGGAGTTTTCAGTCCGCCCAATCCATTTGGGGAATCCCCATAGCTGGTCGTTACAGTCTGTATGGAGGTGGAGGTTATCTCATACCTTTTGGTCGCAAAGTGAGTTGACATTGATTTAATAGTTATATTGACTTATTAAGCTATGAACTGGACTAAGAGCTCAACCACTTCATTACTTAATTTCATTTTTTTTTTTAAATTTATAATTGAATTTAAAATGAATACAGTTTACTTCATGTATATTTACTTTTTAATGAACACATCTTTACTAAATTCAGACTATAAACAGCATTATAAATGAGTTCGAAGAACACATGTGGATCGACCGACAAACTAGAGCCATTTTTGTTGAGTTCACAATCTATTGTCCAAACATCAACCATTTCGCTTATGTGATACTTTTGGCAGAGTTTCTAGATACTGGGGGAATTTTACCATTTTCCAAGTGAGTAGTGAGGCAAATCTTTGTCTAAAGTCCAATTATTCGATGTTGTATATTTGTTACCCTTATCGTGCGTTAAACTCAGCAGGTTTTGAGCATGAACCAACAAGCAAGGAAAACTTTCCATTGAACATACAACATGCTAACTAAATCTACATCAGCGGTTCTCAATCTGTGGGTCGCGACCCCCTTTGGAGGTCGCACGACCCTTTTACGGGGGTCGCCAAAGAACATCGGAAAACACACATGTGCGAGGCCGAATGTCTTAGAAACCGATTGACTTGGTGCGGCTGAAAAAGCAGACATCTCACAAATTTCATTATGATTGGAGAAGAATGTGTTGCGAAACTGAGTGCGATTTCCTTATCTAACAAAATTTTACACAGAAGAACAGATGACATGTCTGTTAACATTTTTGATCAGGTAATCCAGGAAATTAAATCTGCTCCACTGCCAATATTTAGTATCCAGCTCGTAGAATCTAGAGACGTTGAAAACTGTTCACAGTTACTACTTTAAATGAGGTATATTAATGATGGCGACTTTAAAGATGAGTTTCATTTTTTGCAAACGTCTTGAAACGACAACTACTGCACGTGAAGAGTTGACATAGTTGGCTTATTTCAATTTTTTTTTTTTTTGGTTTTTCTAGTGTTTGTTTGTTGACAAAGGCTTCCTGACAAGCGTTCATTTTTTTGCGTTCCTCTTTTAAGGTTTGACCTATAATGATGGCGACTTTAAAGATGAGTTTCATTTTTTGCAAACGTCTTGAAACGACAACTACTGCACGTGAAGAGTTGACATAGTTGGCTTATTTCAATTTTTTTTTTTTTTTTGGTTTTTCTAGTGTTTGTTTGATGACAAAGGCTTCCTGACAAGCGTTCATTTTGTTGCGTTCCTCTTTTAAGGTTTGACCTTGCTTCGTTTGACTCATTTCCTATTTGGCTAACCTGATTGCAGCCTCTCCCTTTATCACCCGATTCAAAACTGTGTCAGAGATCACACTGGTTTAGCAATAAAAAAATTATTAGATAATTAGTTAATTAGTAAATAATTCAGACAAAGGTACGTTTTCAATTGTATACAAATTTGTAGAAGGGTGTTGTGTAGATGAGAAATGGAGTGTCAAAATTACAGTATGTTTTGTCCACAGCATTAAAAAGTACACCTGTAAAAGTTTTGTGTCCCTTGTCTTAAATATTTCTCTTCATATCTCATTAACAAAAATGAATATGACTTAACAATCTAATCTGTGGTTTAAAACATTAATAATGTGTTTATTAATTTAACACAATCTACTTACATTTCAGTATTTACCCATTCACGGCCCACAATCCTCCTGGAATTCTTGGTGCGTATTTTCAATTGTGTGAAATTATTGGAATTATCTTTACACTGGTTGGCGTGCTCTATGCTATTTTTATCTTTGGAAAGAAAAAGTGGGCGGCACTTAAGGACCTGTGGTTTGTGGTGGATTTGTCTGCTGTTCTTGTAGGGATTTGTACTGCGTCCATGTTGTTGTAAGTATGTAATTATATTGTTTACTGCTTCACTAGTTTGATAGAATTATTTATAAGAACTAAATTTTGATCTGCTGAAATAATTTAAATCAATTTTCTTCAGCTTCCTATTGAAAAATGGTAAGATGAAATCTACCACAATCTTGTGATACCTCAGGCTTTAACAGGGTTCTTTTCTCTTCTAAAATACTATGTAAAAACTATGTATGTAAAAACTATGTTTTTTTCTGTAAGTTTTAGTTTTTATATTTTAGCTTGCGCCTTAGCTTCACCAAGAGCGCAATAGCAAAAGTAAAGGCAGACAAGGAAAAATTTGTTAACTTCTACCAAGTTGTGGCCTGGGATGCCTCTTTGATGATATGTCTTTCGTTGCTGATTGTTATTGGTTGTCTGAGATTGCTGAAGCTGGCTGGCTACTCTGAGAGAACAATGAAAGTACGTCAACATATAATACTTTTTCTTGAAAAAAATAATTATTTAAATAAACATGAAAAGCACTCAGCGAAAGATAATAATTTAAATTTCATCAATATTTAAATATGTATGTATACAATAGACCTAAATGCTGTTTAGAAATTATAGTACTTCTTATTTTTGTAATAATAACATTGAAATTCTAAGATTCATTTTCCCTTGCAAGAAAGAAACAGATAATTGGTAAAGAGAAAAAGTTTTAATACGATTTTTACTAAAACTAGATGCACATTATGAACAGTAAACACACATTTTTATTCATATTGTTAATCGTTTAAAATAGTACTTTAATTTTCATCACCATTAAAAAATAAACTTCAATGTATTGTCATACTTGTCTGAAAAGTTTAAGATTAGAACATTAGACTACCAAACTAAGCTGTATCATATATTTTCAGGTGTACACAGTCTTATCGCTGGCAGTGAAAACTTTGCCCAGTTTTTTCATATTCATCTTCTTAATCCTCATGGGTTTCGCTTCTATGGGATTCATCCTCTTTGGTCGCACCAGTTATTACTTTAATGGTTATTGGCAAGCAGTAGAAACACTATTCACGGGCCTGCTGGGCCACTCAAGCTTTAAAGTAAGGATTTTTTTTTAACTACATCTTTCTTTGCTTTTCAGAATTAAGCTCTTCTCAAAAAATGAGTTGCATAATCTATTTTGAATCTCTTTTAATTATTAATTATCCTGTATTTAATTATGAATAAACTATGTTGGTATCCCTCAACATAGGAGGGATTCTGCAGATTATGCAACACTATCAAAACAATTGGCCTCTACATATGTCGATTCATGTTGTTTCTGAAAACATGTCATGACATTAGGATGTGTTAAGTTTGTACTCTGTTCTCTTTTCCACATTATTAATAAATGCAGTGTTAAGACTAAAGTGATAGCTAAAATATGTTATGCAAGTTTTTAAATTACAGCCGCAAAATCTTAACCAATATGTTGCCTAAAAACGAATATTTTAACATTTAAGTAAATTTTTATTTTTAAATAACTTAAAGCTGATGACATTAGGTTTCATATCCTCATCAAATCGTATATCTTTGTGTCTCTCTTTATGATTTCAGGAAACAAATGTCCCAGCTGAAGACACCTGGATCAGTATAGTTTTTTTCTGCATGTTTGTGGGCGTGGTGGTCATTCTGCTCACAAATTTTTTCCTTGCTGTCTTAATGGACTTACTTAATTCCGCAAGCAATCGCTATTGTAAAGGCGAGGACACCAAAATTTTCATTGTGTTATGGGACATGTTCCTAAAATCAATGGGAAGCAAGAGAAATCCCCTAGACAGACTGAAAATGGATGATCTTGGTGAGTTAGAATTATTGTTATGAAAGGAAAAGTGGATGCATGTGTCTTTACAGCACTGCAGATGCATAGGTGATAAAATTTAGAGCATGAAGCACCTAATAATCCACTGGCAAAGCAACAAATGAGCTTCTTGAAGTTAATTTACCTGAGACTTTTAGAGATTTTAAAAAACACAAAAGTCATTTAAATATATTTGAGTGGTGGGGGTCTATGAATTGATATTATTTCTCCATTTTACAGTCTGGGTAAATCCCCAAGACCTTTTATCAATAGCATGTTGGTATCTTAGCAAAGTAATGGTGCAAAAATGTCCACATACACATTAACTTGACCTAGCAAAGTAATGGTGCAAAAATGTCCACATACACATTAACTTGACTTCCCGTCTAGCTCATCATGGTTTATGTGGTGGAAATCGCATGGATCTCCCCACATGTCGCAAGCTGATATATTATAATCAAAGTCGTATCCTCCTTATCTACAATGTCAATTGATAATTATGCAACATAAGCTTATAACCTGTTTTTTTATTTCCCATTAATATACTGTCGCCCGCCACTTCACCTCAGCTCTGACCTCGGCCCCTCTAACTCTCAACCTTAAACTGTTCGCCTGCATCCCTTAGCCAGCTTTCTTCTTCTACTAACCATCTCCACATTGTACCGAAAGCATTTCTATCTTTTCAAAAACTGATTCATGGAAGACATTGTAATTCTTGCTCGATTCATACACTCCACAAATAAATTGCACTTGCACTAGTTCCCTTAAAAAACAAATTTTCCAAATCAACCGTCATTTTCCAAAATTAACCAAATAGAACATTGGATAAAAGTATCTATCAGATGTAAATTTAAATGCCTGGCATCTGAGACCATAATATTGGCCTAAGCAGTGTCCCAGACTAAGACACTGTCAGATTAAAGAAAGATTGCCTTAATAAACCTTTTTTTAAGAAAAAATACTTGTTCAATCATAGAACCAGAAGATGTCCGTGAAGATGATATTCAACTTCATCATGGCGTAGACGACTGCATGTCCAGATTTGGGAAAAGTTTATCAAAGTAAGTTAAAAATAAAAATCAAATGCTACAAATTGAAATATGGGACATAAAACCAATATATTTATGTTTCTTAATACCAGGCAAGAGCCATAAATGTGCTTCATTTTTTTTTATAATTTATTGAAATTCATCTCACAATAAATAACTTCTAAAATTTGTGTTGGAGAATACAGATTTTTTTAAAAGATGTATATCAACAGCTTGCATGAAAACTAGGTAATTATCAAAGTGTAATATGTTCCATTTAAACTATGCTCTTTGAATAAAGAGTATCTGAAGAAAAATGACATAATAAGCTTACTACATTAAATGTAGGCCCCTTTGGGTACATCATTTTAAATAAAACGAATATTTTTTTATTTATATAGAAGGGATAATAATAGTTTTTTTATAGAAAATAATATATGAGATTTGGAGGAATATATTGTTAGCATTTCATGATTGAATAAAAAAAAATGTTTAGAACCATAATATATATATTAGTGTTAAACATGCTGATGATCTGTTCCAGGTTGTGCCAAGATGATGGTGATGACATTTTGAATTGGGCAAGCAAGTCAGAGGCAAAAAGGAAGCAGGCAGGATTATTTTGCGACATCAACCTGCCAAAAACAAAAACAGACGGAAGTGAGAAGATCTATAGACAGATTGTGCGCCATGATTATTAAGAAACCTCAAAACGCTTATGTCAAAAAAAACAAGAAAAAAAACTGTGAGATGGAAACGTATGCAATTTTCATAAAGAAAATGTTAAATTTAAAACTTTGAAGACATTTGACTTTTTCAAGTTTTGTAATTATGAATTTAATTCTTTAATATATCAGTGTTTAATACTCATGTTTCCTTCATTAGCTTAGAATGTTTAACCATGACGAAGACTAAGAGTCGATACAACTTTTTCTCCTTATACATCATGTGTACTTAAATCCCATATCTTTACAACAAAAAATAATATGGTTTTACATTTAAAGACATTAAAAGTACCCCCCCCCCAACCAAAAAAAAAAAAAAAAAA